ATGCTGCAGCAATATACTGAAATGAAAAAACTGTTCTGGATCTGTCACTCAGTCGGGACTAGCTGGTTTGTTTACATACGGCTTCCATTGTGGTGAACCCATCACAAATGGATTCTTTTGATGATTCCTGCATGCAATGACCAGGTCGACAATCTACCACAAATACACGGACTCCGGGTCGTACAAACGACTTCCCTTCTGAGGCTCAATATGTGCAGTAAAATGTTGACAGGATAGCGTCATATGTAGGTTTCTACCGCATACTCTGCTGACGAACGGTCACTACGAGACTGCGGCTTGGCAGTCGCCGATTCCCAGTAAGTTTCAGACATTCTGCAATTATTTTCCGGAATCTGGTATTATTGACATAATTCATAGTTATCAAGCGGTACCGCACAGCTAGTACTTGTCAACATTTCAGTTTCCACCGTTGTAGTGACTTGACTGTGGTTTATTCCGTATAAGACCCTACGATATCCGCATCAGGGTGACACCAGTTGACACCTTGCTAGTGCGTGCTGTTGGTCCATCCAAACACAGCATAAAAATGCGCATAAGGGGGAGCGACATATGCACATTTTTTACCAAATAGTTTAGTCGACTAGGTGTGCATCGCATTTCCTGACCGAGTCCATTAACCTGTAATGGGAAATAGCTAAGGTGAAGTATTCTGGTTGTTCCTCTTCCTATTACAAGTTTGATCGAATGTACCAAGTGGACAGTAAGTGACAGTAAGTCATAAATGTGATGAGCAACAGCCTTACCTTTGTATTTCATGGGTTTATATCAGACTCGAATAGTGTGAGAGAACAACTGGAAAACCTTTGGGATTGATCAAGAATTCAACTTCTCAGAAAAGTCTGGAGACCCAGGTAGCATTTGGCCGACCGAGTCTGCCGAATCCCCCACAAGCTGGAAAGTGGTCTTCATTTAAACACGCATGCTCGTGAATTAACTTATCAGTCACATGACCGTTCTAAAAACCACCCACTTCCAAAGAGGGCATGTAAAAAGAAAACCTGCTTCTAATCGGTGCTCTGATGCATCCTAGGAATGCCAAAAGCACTTCCTGCGCCTTCATTTAGAGCCGTTCTCTGAACCGTTATCGACTTGCAGTTCCTCCGATGAGTCAGAATTTTCGCAGTTTTTCGGACTTAAATAAAGACTGAAACTTGAACGCCTCCGATTTCGGACCCCACTCCTTAGCTGTCCGTAGACGATCAGTTTCGGGATAAAAGTTTTAAACCACACAACAGTATTCGGCGACATCATTACACATCGAAGAACTTCAGTGTTGGGGATTTGACCTGTTCATTTAGTCCGAAGGAAGGTGAGATCCGTCAAGCCCTCGAACGAGTAGTCTGTGTGTAGTCTCCAAGTTCAACTGACAAGGTGGATTAACGTCCGTTTTCAAATTTGCCCGACACAACGAACAACGACGATGCAAACTCTCCTACAATAGGTAATGCCACTTATGATTTGATGTGAGCCGAATGTTCAATCAGATACACGCAATTTCCCTGCTGCAGACCCGACGGAATGAGACCACGGCCCGAACAGGCTGTCCGAATTTGGATGGGTTTAAGTGGAAATGGTCTGCCCCATGTGTTTGCAAGTTTCAATGCTGCACACATCCTCAGTGATCCTCCAAAGTCGTCGTATGGCAAACTCACAAGGCCACCTGTCGAATTGGTGCCATTTGGTTCATCCCAGACTTGGAAAATATATCATACATACGCTGCCATACATAGAAACCGGCTGCCAGACCTGCGAAATCTCGATTGAGTATTAATACTAATGATGGCCTTCGTAGTCCCAGTGCAGACCATTGCGTTCATTGTCATACTTGACCATCTTGAGTCTAGTTTCTAGCTGTCCAGACAGTCAGCCCCACTATCCTTGACATGATAAACGAGCCAAGTTTTGTGTGGAGATCTCAACACCGTTCTTGAGGAAAAAACCCCAAACCAGTGGAGGTCCGGTCGTTGAAAGAAAGACACGTGGTGAAAAGGCAACCCGATCTGATCAATGGATACCTTATCTAGCTACCAAACGTTCACTGTACATCGGGTTTATTGTGACGAAATATCTATCCGCACCATCGCACGCATGCCAACTTTGGGTTTCTTCACAAGAAAATGTCCAGTTGTACGCCGGATGTTGTCGCCGCACCGATAGATTTCTCCTCCAGCTTCCCCGTTGTGTAAAATGGAGGAACAAAATACTGAAAGTTGCCTATCTGCTATATTATTTCATCTTTTGTTCTAGGAGCTTCGCACGCGGAGAGATGTTTGGCTTTTGAAGTGTTGGCGACCAATCCTACGATTACTTCACGGTGAGGTACATTATTCGGAATCCTGGAATCCTTCCCAGTCATTATCTAATAGAACGCTATTAAAAGCATACTCCGAATAAGCTATCAAGGTCTTGGGATTTAACTGGATATATATATATAAGACAGGGGAAGTCGAGTGGCGGAGATCAGATTCGAACCACGAACCTTCCGGTCAGTAAATTCGCGCTCTAACCACTTGGACCATCTCGCCCAAACGAGAGAGACAGCCTCGCTTGTGGTGTCAAAATGGCATATCACTGTGTCTCATGTACTAAGGCCGTGTCGTTGTGCGGTTGCAAGACATGACTGCTGCAAGCAAATGATATGAGGAGTCTGCAGGTTTTTGACCATCGATGCCTCAGAAGCGTTGCTGATGTCGGACAGTCAACAAATTCATAACGATAAAATTCGTAAAACTGGTATTTGGTTATGCAGCAGATATTTCAATCGCAGATAACATCCAGCAACATCAACTGCAGTGTCTCGTCGATACCGAAACACCGTCTACGGAGACCAGTGTTGTTCTTGCCCCTATCAGAATAGCAGAAGTAGCGAGGAAAGCATATGAATTGGGAGGGTGTGAAGGAGATACCGGAGAATTGGTGTGTTATTGGTGGGTGCATTTTTCAGGATGGGGTGCATGCTTTGCTGGAGATCTTTGCAAGAAATGGCTCGATGATAGTTGATTTCGTGCTGTCTCTTTCTCGAGTAGTTGATTGAGGACCTGAAGTTGCAGGCAGTCCAGAATGCTTGCGATAGTCAAGCATCGGGTGGCCTCCCTCACCCACTCTTCTTTCTTTTTACTCTAAGGCCTTAAAAAGAATTAGATGAGGTTTGTGGAGGTGCAGCAATGAAGCATCAGTGCCAATAGTGATGTTGCTGCCTGTTGTTATGTTTTCTTCAGGCCTATTTTAGACCTAACAAAAGGCCGCGATGCCCGGAAATTCTGGTGTTTGTTGACCCAGATGATCATTCTCGTAAAGTGGTAATGAGATCAAGTAAAACAATCATATAATACTGGTTAGTTTTGACTCTTATCAGCATCACTGATAACAATAATGGTTCTTTATTGCCCCAATGTGCGTAATTTAATACATGTGACCGTATACGGCCTGTAGAGGGTACTAAATACGTGTCAGAAAACTGCTGAAGCCGCACATCATGAACAAAAATTAAGTCGTTTCTTCGAGGCATCATTTATGGAGAAAACTTGAAAATGTGAGTTACCATTCTGAGACGCGAGAAGAACAGGGTGTATGCGAGGGTGAAGAAGCATGCTGTTCGGTTTAACGAAAGCAGATAATCGACGATGCGCGTTTGGCAGAAAATGGAGCAAGGAATCATGGATGCTCCGTTGGCCACCGAAGAGAAACGAATAGATACAGAAATAATGCATCGAAAAGATGCGGAGAACAAGAGACAGGCTGGAGGAGCAAAACGACTATTCGGTGGGTGTGTTTAGTTCTGTATGGATGCGAACACTGGCTAAATTACTAGTACGCCTGACTCACTTCTCCCCGGAGAGTGGCGTTCAAAAGAAGCTGAGGACACAGCCAGGGTTGTAGGGAGAGCACCTTCGGGGTACAAAAAATGTACAAGGAATCTAAGGAGCGTGGCAGACGGGTCTCGTTGCTGTCAAGCCAAGTTGCAATTTCATGAGCTTTGAAAAGCGCTGGTGGAAATTTGTGGGCGGTAATCGACCGGACACGTACGGTGTCCACCGATAAGTGCATAGAGCACGTAACAATGAAATTTACAAGTACAATCCGGAATTTCCGTAAATGTATGGTGTACAACACGGTGACTCTGATAAGCACTCCAGTGATGGAAAACAGCAGACGGGCCACACGGTTGGACAGTCGCCGCACGGGTGGGATTCCGGCGCTGATGAACAAGGTGAATATTCATCTATGTATGTACACTAGAGACACTCCAGTCAATGAAAAAAAAACAGAGAAATACAATAGCAAAAAGATGGGGGCGGGAACACCGGCGTAGTGATAGTTGTATTGTTGGAAGATACGTGTATAGTCCGTGAAGGGAATCAATACATTTATTCGAAGATCTGATGAATTAGCAGGAGGAGGCTAAAACGGGTGAAGTTTGAGATAAGGAAGGGGACACTTGTATGTGAGCAGTGAAGTCAAAATGGCATAAGCAAATGTGCGTGAAAATCATTGGGAATGATGAACAAAATATTCATCTATGTATGTACACTAGAGACACTCCAGTCAATGAAAAAAAACAGAGAAATACAATAGCAAAAAGATGGGGGCGGGAACACCGGCGTAGTGATAGTTGTATTGTTGGAAGATACGTGTATAGTCCGTGAAGGGAATCAATACATTTATTCGAAGATCTGATGAATTAGCAGGAGGAGGCTAAAACGGGTGAAGTTTGAGATAAGGAAGGGGACACTTGTATGTGAGCAGTGAAGTCAAAATGGCATAAGCAAATGTGCGTGAAAATCATTGGGAAGGCGAAAAACGAAAACCCGAAACTGCGCAAGCGAAAAGATTGCTATGGTGACATAGAGCAGGCCATGTTAGAATGTGTAATTGTACTACGTGGACGAGGAGAGGTAAACGAATGTTTTTGACATGGGGACTGTCCTGAGCAGGAGCTATGTGATTGAGAACTACAGCATTAAGTGACCAGACTCACATGTGAAATAAAAATCGGCGTAGACCGGTCGATCGGGAGGGTGGACGATTATATTCGGTGCGATCCAGCGGACTGACCTCACCTCACGAACAGGGAGAATATGTATATCATGACCGCACACAGAAGTACCATTATCGGAATGATCGCAAAAAGAGAAACCTACAGGCAGAGAAAGATAACAATTAAGACTGGTTAGCTACTGTTGAAAGACATCGTGACATTCAATAAGCATAACAAAAATGGTCCCCTACAGTTTGGTCCCTGCATACTTACATGACAAAGATATACAATTCTCGGCAGAAAAGCACACGTCATGCGAATATGAGTCGAGCGCTCAAATGATTCGTATCCGGCAAAAATATATGCACCCATTACGTTACTGGTTGACGTTTGGTAGACACGTTGGAAGCGAATGTATGCACCCGGTGGGTAAGTTGTTCATCTTTAACAGAATATCGTTTGGCGCCTGTCGTGTCTGTGGTTACAGAATGCGTGAACTAGAACAAGGTGTCGTTAGTGTTCTCAGAGTATACAATGCACGAGCATACTACGCGCAACTCCGCATTGGTATCTATCGGATGCCCTGCCAACCAAGCTCGTTATCGTTCCTCTGGCTGCAAGCATGTTCGATTGAAGGAAATTCAAACAGAAACCAGTGATGGACTTCATGTTGTTCAGAAAGCGGGCAATAAGTGGGATATCTGATATTTCACTTGAGGAATGCATCCAGTAGTACGGTCTGCCGTGGTTGGGTCATGCGTCATGCATTCCGACTTATCGTCTACCTACAGTGTAACCAGAGTGACGCAAACCAAGAGACGGATGGGATATGAATTGACAGAAGAGGATGAAGGTCGGAAAAGCTGCAAGGAGCGACCGCTAAACTATGTCCACAGCGTCTGTGTGGTCAGTTTCTATCCGAACTACCTGGGGTGGAATGTTTGGGGGTGTGGAGAACTTGAAGGTTTGCGGCAGGCTAGCACGACGTCCCCTTTTCAGTCGTTACAATAGGGTTTTTTCTAGACACGTTTACACCTCTGTGTTCCAGTTAAGCAAAAGTGGTGCTGTCTACAACGATGAGGCCGCTGTCCTTCGAGTGAGGCCAGCCTTGTTTGCACTGGACAGCAATGAACTAAGGCTGCGAAATTGAATCACCCAACCCAATGCCCATGTAGATTTTTAGCTTTCTGATTACCAATGTGAATCTGTAGTAGATACAAATGGGCCATTACCTCATACTCCGGCGCAGCTAGTAGTTCAATGACAACTAAAAACGTGATCCGCTCAATAGTTTCGAGACTTCTCAATAACGAGGTGTATTTTGGAAGAGGCATTCTTCATGCAATGATCAGAGTGTGAGGCGTTCTCTGGTTAAAAAGTGCGGAAAGTTTAAGATACGAATTCGGAATCAACTAGACAAACTCCTTCTTAGTGTGAAAAATTGACAGCCGTGAAAGAGGAGTTTAATGTTCGGTTTAAGTACCAATACGTCCGAAAAATTTGGCAGAAATAATCCAAACTGGTGCATATGATAGAAAACCTGCCCAACGTGGAGTAGGTTGTTTTAAGTATGATCATTAAAAGGTCTTCAAAAAAACTGGTTTACAGGCGGCTACTTACGATCAGTGTCTAGAAATCACTGAACGGCTCCAATAAGGTATCCAATGCTCAAAAACAATCCTCACAGAATGAGTTAGTGCTTAGACCACACATGGAATGAGAAAAACCTTAATCCCTGACAAAAACAACCCATTGAAGAGGCCTAGATAAAAAAAAAACAGAAAGGCGCAGAGATGCCCCATTATGCCTTTCTTCTTTGCCTTACTTCTCCGAACAATCAATAAACGTCATCACACACCAGAAACGTCTACGCTAGTCCGTTTAGTGATGCCTCGACATTCCACTTGAAGCTTGGAAGCGTGAAATATACTCGGGGGAAAATGTGAACGTTAAATCGTCTCAACACACCATGTGTCCTCCGACATCTGCAACCCATCGATGGAATGTCGGTGACGATTCTCCGCTCTATTCGATGTTCTCAATAATTATTTATTTGCGAGAACTTCTAGAGTGGGAAACGAAACCAGCAAAAAATTGCTGGTGTGCGGTCTTATGCAAACGTGTGGTGTACGGGCGGTTTTAACGCCGGAGTCTTTCCCAATCGTGCTCGGTTTGATCCCAGCTAGCAAACTGGACAGGGTAGCTGAATTTGTAAGTCTCAGATGCTCTAAAAGCGATATAAACACAACAAACTGATCCAATGAAATCGAACAAAATCCATAAAACAGAATGACCGCCTCAGAAAGATTACAGGCAGGTTGGAAATGCACTGGCCTACAGAAGAGATCATCCCAGTGGCCCCTAAGGGGTAAGGAAAAACATAAAAATGCGACACTTATGTGACGGCTGAACGGTTCTTGAGTCAGGATAAATTTTTCCGATACGTTCAAAGGAATTAAGCACGAAATGTTGCCAGGAACTAATATGTCCATTTCTTGGGAAATCTCACTAACCAACCCAGATACTGAGCGAATTAGTGTGACTTTCCAAATAGTTGAATGTGCCCTGTTGATTTCTATTTGGTGTACTGCCTAATCGTTTTGCCCCCACCCCCCCCCGTGTTTAAACAAATTCCAAGGGGGGGG